CCCCCCATCAGTGTTTAAGGCCCCTTTCTATTTACCCCACTCCCTTCAGTGCCCCAGTGTTTAGGACTCCCTCAGTATTTTAATAAGCCCTCTCTATTTAGCCACCTCTCTGCATCATCGGTTTATATATCAAATATTACCTATTAAAATCAAACAAAATATAACTAGTAATACATTATGAGTGCAAATGTGTACCTGAACCACTGTGCCTGAACGGTGCAACTTTGCTTTTGTAAAGCTATTTCAAGTTTTCATACTTAGATTGTGGAATTTTAGCGCTGAACTACCGAAAATTTGCAGAAAGAGTGAATATAATGCGGTCAGTATTCATATATTCAATGATGATATCAGTGAATATGGACATATTCAACATGGGGCAGCTGTGTTGCTGACGCCTTGTCACCTTGGCAATAGAATGTTTTGATCACGTGATACAAACAACTTCGAAAATACACATTTGACTTTTAACAAACTACACTCTGGAAAACCTTGACTTTTTGCAATTTTTCTTGTAAAATATGGACTCTTTCGACCGTAAAACGAACGACGTGGATATTATGATTACTGCTCCTTCCGATAACGAAGTGGAAGGCTTTTCCTCGGGGTCGGAAGACGAAAATCTGAGCGAGGATGAAGGCGAAACGGTTGAGCATTCGACCAGTTCGGAACCAAATATTGACAAGTCTTCGACTGTGGAAGACTCGAAAAGTCCTGAAAATCCTAACGATGGCGGGGAAAACGGATTATGCGAAAGATTCGATAGCGGTGTAAGTTTAAACGAAGATAAATCGACCGACGAGCCGCAACAAAACGGAGAAAAAAGCAGCCAAAATTATGAAATTGTTGGTGATAGAGTACTCGTTGAAAAAGATGGCAAATTTGAACTGGTCGACGCGAATGAAATAAAAGCGGAATACTTTGAAATGTTGGGTATTAAACCAGAGGGTAGTGTAGAAGGCAGTCAAAGCTCTCAAAATGGCGATATTAAAGAGAAATCCGAGAGTTCTGAACCAATTGTTAGACAAAGACCAAAAACAACCCCAGCATTTGGATCTAGGGGGAAAGACGGGAAAAATACCACCCAAGCGCCCAGGAAACGGGTGCAGAGCTCTTGGGGTTATAGGAATAGCGAGTACTCTAAAATTAAGTCCCCCTACGGTCTGACCGAACGGCAGTTGGAGATCAAACGCAAACGGGAAGAGGCGATCGCTCGGCGGAAGAAAGAGGAGGCTGATCGCCAAAAGGAAGAAGAGAAACGTAAACGGGAAGACGCCGAACAAGCTTTTCAGGTTAGTTGTGATCGGCTGATCACAAAATTATCTGGCGTTAAACAGAGTAAAACTGGCTGGCGTTAAACAGCGTAAAATCGTCTGGCGTTAGACAGAGTAAAATCGTCTGGTGTTGCACAGAGTAAAATTGTCTGGCATTAGACAGCACAAAATAGTCTACAAATTTAACCCTTTAAGTGGTAATGCGCCCTACTTTATTATTTTACTCTGTCTAACGCCAGACGATTTTACTTGTCAGTGGGAGAGTGCTGCCACTCAATGGGTTAAACAGAGTAGAATTGTCTGGCATTAGACAGAGTAAAATTGTCTATAAATTTACTAATCTGGACCAGGCTTATTACCCATTAAGTTGTATTAGTGTTCCCCAATTTTGCCTCCTCTATTATTTTACTCCATCTAATGTCAGACAATTTTACTCATCAATGAGAGTAATGGCCTGGTGTGTCTAATTTTAATGGTTTGTGTGTCTGATTTTAAAGTGGAAGTCAAGTCCGTAATGTAAACAAACAGTTTGTTTAGATTTTGAACTGCTGTATTTTTTAAAATATGATGTACTGTCTGAATATCTAACACTATTTTGGTTCGCTATGCTTCTAAATGAATATGAAATAGAGTTTATGTTCAGAAAAATTCGAAACATTCGAAATTTGGGCAATTTTCACATTCAAGGTCCTCACATTCTTATGAGCAGAACCGATGGGCAGAACAGACTTGACTTCCACTTTAAGCAATAAATATGAATAAAGTTCCTTTGACTGCAGGCGTGGTTGAACTCGAAACGGGAAGAGGAGAAAGAGAGAAGGAAAACAGCGTCAAAAGAGAGCCATGAAGAAGATGGAAGCCGATCTACCGATTCTCAGAAAGCGTTCAAAGTATGGAAGGCTTCCAAGAAGAAACAAGAAAATGTCGAGCGAGAAGCTGCCACAAGACGAATGCAAGAAACAGCGTCGATGTACGTTGTACACGATCGGGGCGCTTGTGAGGAGGCTTTTAGAAGGTAACGCTGGTTAAACTAACTAAACTAACTCTACTAAAACTGGATAGCTCTATCAGTTCTAAACTGTTCTCCCTAGAGGACCCGGCCAGTAACAATCATCAGTGATCAAGTGTTACTACAGGAGGAAGCCTAAACTAATTTCATTATTTTGGTTGCATCAGATGGTTAAAAAAGAAGAAGAATGAAAAGAAAACAAAAGACTTGGAGAAAAAGAAACGATTAAAACATAAATCAAGACGAAAGCCCAAAGAACCATTGCCAATAAACTCTGATAAAATAAGGTAGGCTTAGGGCATTATTTCCTAGCCGTGTTTCCCGAAGGTGGACAAACCAGGAAACATTGTTTCCTAGACATGTTTCCCAAAGGTGGACAAACCATGAAACATTGTTTCCTAGCCATGTTTCCCAAAGGTGTACAAACCAGGAAACATTGCTTCCTTGGCTAGTCATGTTTCCCAAAGGTCAACAAACCTGGAAACATTGTTTCCTAGCCATGTTTCCTGAAGATCGTCAGAAATATATTTCTGTGGAATAAAACTATTTCTGAGTGAGGTCTGATATTTAAATTACTAAAAAATACTATTATTTTCCAACCTAGATTTACAGACAACTATGGATATCGAAACACGGTGGTCTATTAAACTTATTAGAGCTGCTCCCGATTATTTTTCCACAATCGATTATGCTTAATAGGAATCGGATCATCTATAACGCCACACAGCGTGATGTGGGAATAAGTTAATTTCCTTCCAGATTAACCCATTAAGCTGCTGAGCTTCCCAGTGATGAGTAAAATCATCTGGCATAGGACAAATAAAAAGAATAGTAGTTAAAAACATTGCTACAAGATTGTGTGACTTTGCGTTGATTCAAAACATTGTGGGTCAAATATCAATTAAACTTTATACTGACTGATGCAATCCCAAAAAATTTAGTAAAAAGTAATATTTTGTCATATTTTATATGTCAATACGATTAATCGATATTAATCAATTGTTGACAATGATTAATCGATTGCAAAAATTAACCGTTGGGAGCAGCTCTAAAACTTGTGATAGTAGAATTGCTGCGATAACCCCAATATGAGTTCTGGTATGTGTAATATTTGGACCATGGGACTAATCTACTACTATAAAGATATACTACTAGTGAGTCTATCTTTATAGGTAGTAGTATATCTTTATAGGTAGTAGTATATCTTTATAGGTAGTAGTATATCTTTATAGGTAGTAGTATATCTTTATAGGTAGTAGTATATCTTTATAGGTAGTAGTATATCTTACTACAGTAACTATAAAGATATACCACTACCTATAAAGATATACCACTACCTATAAAGATATACCACTACCTATAAAGATATACCACTACCTATAAAGATATGCCACTACCTATAAAGATATACCACTACCTATAAAGATATACCACTACCTATAAAGATATACCACTACCTATAAAGATATACCACTACCTATAAAGATATACCACTACCTATAAAGATATGCCACTACCTATAAAGATATACCACTACCTATAAAGATATACCACTACCTATAAAGATATACTACTACATTACGCATCTTAGAATATTAAACCCAAATATTACACGTGCAAAAACCATATCTGGGGTTAGTGGCTTTTATGAAATATATAGAGAGTTCATATATATCACAGATTGAGTGTATTTTTAGTTGATATTTATAAATTAAGCTAATATATTATATGTGCACATTATGTTCCAATAGTTATGCATATGTAAGAAAATTAAAGGTATACATAAATTCATGTTTTAATTATTGTATTATTTATAAAGTATCTATCGCAAGGTTAAAATCTTAGCAAATTAGGGCAAGTAGTTTATCAGAAGATAGGTTTGCAAAATACTGGGGGTGAAAATCTCTTAGCTCGTCAACAAGATGTGTTCGTACTGCTTGGGCCCAGTTGTTGACAAGTCTGGAACAAGTTGTTATCATCTTGTAACGAGGTTGACGAGGCCAACAGACTCGCAACAAGTTGTTCCAACAAGTCTGATATCGTCTGCACGTAACAAGTTGTTAACAAGTTGATGACAACAAGCTCGTAGCAACTTGTTACGAACAGCCTGTATTAGTCTTGTTGGAACAACTTGTACACTCTAAAAACACTCTGGTTAAATTCAACCAGGAATTGGGTTAATAATCCACCCAACACATTCTGGTTAAATTTAACCCATTTACTGGTTAAAAATTATCAATTCAACAAAAATTTGGTACACTTTTTTGGACTTTTAACCAGGAAAATGGTTAATTTTTTTTAACCAGACTTGTGTAGGTGGATTTTTAACCCCGTACTGGTTGAATTAACCCAAATTTAACCAGAGTGTTTTTAGAGTGTAGCAAGTCTGTTACCATCATCAACCGAAAATGTCAGTTCTTGAAAACTTGCAAAAGACAATTTTTATCAACAACACATTATAAATATTAAGAGGTCGCATTTTATATTTTGTATGTTTAATACACGCGCTCAAAACTCAGCTTTTCAATTAGCGAAGATAAAAAGGAAAAAATGTTTAAAGTTAGTAAGTTTTGCTTATATTGCTATGCATATATAGCATCAATATCATTACTAGTTGTATTTCATTGGCATTTTTAGCTTTATTTTATGTTTCCAAACCTGTATATGCATTTAAAAAGGTTATAGCTTTGCGTATCAGGGAACGCCCAAACCATTTTAGGTAAAATTGCTCTCAACAAAACTTTTTAAATTAATGGCTGAACTGAATATAAACCTGACTTAATCTGTTAAACACATGGATGGCATAAACCTGTTACTAGATTGGAATAAACCCCGCGAAAAGCTGCCATACTACCGTTCAACAAGAATAGCTCGTGAAAGGACATTGGCAATAAAAAAATAGTTTAGTTCATTTGAAAGAACTCTACATATTAAACTCTATTACAGATTGTTTATATCTTGCTTAGTTTTCATAATATTTTGACTGAAAAAAGTGAGCTGTTCGCCATCTTGGATTATTGAGGATATGCATGTACGTCAAGAGAGGGGTCACGCTAATGTTTTATCTTGAGAGTAAGCGATTAATATGGGTCCAAAACTTCGTTTCTGGTTGCTGTCTGAAATTTAAAAATGATTAAAAACATTTCAAACAATTTTGGATTGTTACTCGGTCATTTTAGAGTAGTTTTATATGGTTAACCCAACTCCTGACGTCATCAAAACCATAGTTAATGAGGTCAAGAATTAGTCCAAGATAGCTCATTAATTTAGGTTTAAATATTTCGAGAACCAAGCAAGATATGACAAATCGGCAATACAGAGTATAATATATAATTTTAAGAGTTCTTTTGAATGAGACAAACTGATTTTTTATTGCCAATGTCCTTTAATCTGTTAAACCCATGGATGGCATAAACCTGTTAATAAATTGGAATAAACCCCGCCTACCAGAAAGAAAAAATATTATAACCCAGCATAAATTGGCGAATTTATAGCGGCGTATTACTGCTCGGCAGTATTATAAAGTGGTGTATGAACTTAGCACGTCTCTGCACCTGTTGCGAAAGTTGTTTTCCTGACAACGGTTCCATATTTGGAGGGGGGCGTAGCATTATTGCCCCAAATATCGTCGCTGAAAGAGAAATCATAACTATAATAAATTCTAAAGCTACTATATATGTACCTTACAATTGTATTAAATACTTGTACTCATTTTCGCCTGCCTTCGCCTTGTATCTCTTTAAGAATGTCTGTGACCCTACTTTTTTATCTTAGATTATTGTTCTTCTGTACGTTTTATACGTCATATCAGAAAATACGAGAGAAATCATCTCTGCAACTTATAATATTTTACGACATCTTTGCACCACGACAATTCACGTGAATGGTTTTTGACTCGCGAAAATAACTAAAATACCATATTTTCTTGCATGTAAGAAAAGCAAGAGCTTTAAACGTCCATATACGGAAACTAGGTTTAAAGATTCACTTACCCAATACTTTTGGTTCAAGGCCATTGTAAGATGAATAAAATAAAAGTTCTTTTAAAAATTCGATCAGATATCTAAAAACATTCCGATGACTAGGCGGTAGATTCATCACCATCTGTAGAATAAAAGACAAGACTTAAAGATGGGCCGATCACAAAGCGATAAACAAGAAGAAATATATCCCCCAAAATACTGGACACCGTTTGACTTCATGTAATGTAAAAGCTATAAAAGCTATCGCAATGAAATAAAGATCGTTGCATTCAGAAAGGACTAACTTAGATTTTGATCTATAGCATTTTAATTTACATAATCATTTCTAAATTTCAGAAAGCAACCAGAAACGAAGTTTTGGACATATATTAATCGCTTACTCTCATGATAAAAAATTAGCGTGACCCCTCTCTTGACGTAACATGCATATCCTCGGGGGTTGACAAAACGTGGACCCCCCCTTTCTGGACCCCTAATCTGGATCCCAATCTGGACCCCATTTTGGACCCCAATCTGGACCCTATTCTTGACCTTTTAAAAACCTACAGACCAGATTGTAGGACACAACTATTTGGATTTCAATATAACGATAGCTAACGATGATCGATTAAATTCATTTAGCTTTTTTCGACTTTCTGAATCCTCAATCCTGATAATTTTAGTCATAATCTTGTACATTAGGGCATTGCTGGGCAACATAGTTATCCAATTAAAAATATCTTACTGCAATAGTTTTCTTGTTTCATGTTCTTTTGAATAGGGATAAGCACTTTCAGTAAACTGCATGTTGTTTTTGTGACCTTGTAAAATACTGTGTAATGACATTGTCAATGTAGTGTCGGGTTGCTATAAATCGGCAAATTTACCCCGCTGCATTTACAGCAAAAATGTCAACAAATATTGGCTTGTGGCCAAATTATGGGTCACTGCCGAAGCCATCTCAACAAATGCTGGTTGGGGACGGACTGCTTACAGCTGCCTATGTAATGTTTTCTTAATTTGCATGTTTTCTTAATTTGCATGTTTCCAGAAAGGGGTCCAGAAAGGGGTCCAGAATGGGATCCAGAATGGGGTCCAGAAAGGGGTCCAGAAAGGGATCCAGAATGGGGTCCAGAAGGGGGGGGGTCCACGTTTTGTCAACCCCCCATATCCTCGATAATCCAAGATGGCGAACAGCTCACTTTTTTCAGTCGAAATATTTTGAAAACTAAGCAAGATATAAACAATCTGTAATACAGTTTACTATATAGTTTTAAAAGTTCTTTCAAATGAACGAAACTATTTTTTATTGCCAATGTCCTTTAAATACTATTCATCGTATTCGCACGTTTCATCTCGGCTATCTCCCGATTGGACGCGGTTACTTCATTATACGAAAATACAATGAGCCAGGGCCTTTTTTAACTATATACGTGGGGGGGTCAAGGACCCCCCACCCCCTCCTTTGGCCCCCCCACTGATGGGTTTTGGCCCCCCCACTAAATTGTCATGTTGTTACTTTAGCACATAGCATAAAATAAAAATTCATGCACTACTCTGGGCAGTGGGCAAGGACAGTTAAATTTCCTACCATTTAAATAATAACAGAATAATACAGTTTTATTCAGATCAGTGGTCTATTCCTTATATTTGTGTAAAACGAAGTACCAATTGTAAAAATGGAAAAAATTCTGTAAATTTTGTGGAAAATTTTGTGATTTTTCAAAAATTTTGTTAGGTTTCGAAAAAATTGTTTATTTTCGGAAAAATTGGTATGTCCGGAAAAAAATTTTTGACCCCTAAAATGGTACACAGACCGAAATTTTTTTGGCGATGGGGGGGGGCGGGGGGGGGGGAGGTCGCCAAAATAATTTCCGGAAAATTTTTTTTTTAATCTAAAAGGTCGGTTACATTCTTTATGCAGTGAGTGCCCCCCCAGCTACGGGCTTGATTACTGGTCCCTTCGGTCGTAACCGAAAGGTCCCTTCTGTACAAAGGCCCCCCCACGAGCAATTTCTTAAAAAAGGCCCTGGATTGTCAATCTCCGTGACAATCTCAAACACAATCTCAAACTCAATGACTTCTGTTTAGCTTCCAAACCATCATATCTTGATCATACATATCTTATATAGACTAGATAGCGCATTTCTTTTGGTAAAATTGAAGCCAAGAATATTCCAGCGGTTACCCCCATTTGAATATATGGCGGCCATGTTGGAGTTTCCCACTCGCTAATAAACGCTTAAAAAACAACAATAACTTTCATCATTTGAATAGTTTGAAAATGTATTCGGAATAGGTTTAACTTAATGTTTAAGTTCCCTGTTTAAGAAATAGAAAACATACGAGTCTTCTCATTTCATGGGAATATCCTGAGTCTGCAATCACGGCTTCAATTTTTGAATTGCAGAATAATTAGATGTATATAAGATATCTATGATCTCGATAGGCTATGCTATATGAATCAGTGACAATTACCTGTTTACATAGTGTGTAATTATTACTACATTCCAAGCATTTCTGGTACATTTTGAATGGAATGACAGGTTCTTCGAGACTTTCTAAAAACACTAACAATGCTTCTGCCACGGAGTGGATATTGCCAGCTTTGATATATAATTAAAGAAAACTCTGCTTCGATATTGATAGCCAAAACAGGATCTGTACTGTCAGGTCTGAGCTCAGAAATGCAATTATTAGTGCATGCATTTTAATAATGTATAAATGCATAGACTATTATGAATTTATCTGTGTTCGTGTAATGTACTCAGGTGAATATGATGCTTGTGTGTGATGTTACTCTGAGTGTGTATCCACACCGGGCAGGCTTGAAAAATATGCCTGGCCACGATGAGTCACATACTCGAACCGACCACATACCGGGATCACATACTCACATACTCGATGTGACGTATACTATATATGTCCGACCAAATTTAGTGATGTTGGTTTTTGTCCGACCAAATTCAAGTTATGTCCGACGAAAATTAGAAGTGATCGGACAAATGTCCTGTCAAGTCAAATATTTATTTGCAGCCCTGGTAACATACAAAAGACTCTTAAACAGACTATCTCTCCATGCCCTTGTTATGGATTATCGGTAAAAGGATACGCAAATTGCCATCAGCTTTTGTGTCCAAGTGATCACGAATCCTTTGAAGTTCCCCTTCAAACGCAGACTGTCTAAAAATACTTGGCTAAAAAATAAAAACATTTCACTCTTATTTAAAATCCACTGTATAGCTTTCAAGTTCAACATTTTGTTGGACATCTCGCTTATATACAATTATATACTTAACCAGGAGCAGTTGCAAAAATACAACTATATGCCCTCTGGCAAGAATCGATCCTGCGATTCCGGTGCAGCGCTCTAACCAACTGAGCTACACAGGCCAGTTGTCGAGCTCTAACCAACTGAGCTACAGAGGCCAGTTGTCAAGCTCTAACCAACTGAGCTACAGAGAGACAGTTGTCAAGCTCTAACCAACTGAACTACAGAGAGACAGTTGTCGAACTCTAACCAACTGAGCTACAGAGAGACAGTTGTCGAGCTCTAACCAACTGAGCTACAGAGAGACAGTTGTCGAGCTCTAACCAACTGAGCTACAGAGAGACAGTTGTCGAGCTCTAACCAACTGAGCTACAGAGAGACAGTTGTCAAGCTCTAACCAACTGAACTACAGAGACAGTTGTCAAGCTCTAACCAACTGAACTACAGAGAGACAGTTGTCAAGCTCTAACCAACCGAACTACAGAGAGACAGTTGTCAAGCTCTAACCAACGGAACTACAGAGAGACAGTTGTCAAGCTCTAACCAACTGAGCTACAGAGAGACGGTTGTCCAGCTTTAACCAACTGAGCTACAGAGAGACAGTTGTCGAGCTCTAACCAACTGAGCTACAGAGAGACAGTTGTCGAGCTCTAACCAACTGAGCTACAGAGAGACGGTTGTCGAGCTCTAACCAACTGAGCTACAGAGAGGCAGTTGTTGAGCTCTAACCAACTGAGCTACAGAGAGACAGTTGTCGAGCTCTAACCAACTGAGCTACAGAGAGACAGTTGTCGAGCTCTAACCAACTGAGCTACAGAGAGACAGTTGTCGAGCTCTAACCAGCTGAACTACAGAGAGACAGTTGTCGAGCTCTAACCAACTGAGCTACAGAGACAGTTGTCGAGCTCTAACCAACTGAGCTACAGAGAGACAGTTGTCGAGCTCTAACCAACTGAGCTACAGAGAGACAGTTGTTGAGCTCTAAACAACTGAGCTACAGATAGACAGTTGTCGAGCTCTAACCAACTGAGCTACAGAGAGACAGTTGTCAAGCTCTAACCAACTGAGCTACAGAGAGACAGTTGTCAAGTTCTAACCAACTGAGTTACAGAGAGACAGTTGTCAAGCTCTAACCAGCTGAGCTACAGAGAGACAGTTGTCAAACTCTAACCAACTGAGCTACAGAGAGACAGTTGTCAAGCTCTAACCAACTGAGCTACAGAGAGACGGTTGTCGAGCTCTAACCAACTGGGCTACAGAGAGACAGTTGTCGAGCTCTAACCAACTGAGCTACAGAGAGACAGTTGTCGAGCTCTAACCAACTGAGCTACAGAGAGACAGTTGTCGAGCTCTAACCAACTGAGCTACAGAGAGACAGTTGTCGAGCTCTAACCAACTGAGCTACAGACAGACAGTTGTCGAGCTCTAACCAACTGAGCTGCAGAGAGACAGTTGTCGAGCTCTAACCAACTGAGCTACAGAGAGACAGTTGTCGAGCTCTAACCAACTGAGCTACAGAGAGACAGTTGTCGAGCTCTAACCAACTGAGCTACAGAGAGACAGTTGTCGAGCTCTAACCAACTGAGCTACAGAGAGACAGTTGTCGAGCTCTAACCAACTGAGCTACACAGAGACAGTTGTCGAGCTCTAACCAACTGAGCTACAGAGAGACAGTTGTCGAGCTCTAACCAACTGAGCTGCAGAGAGACAGTTGTCGAGCTCTAACCAACTGAGCTACAGAGAGACAGTTGTCGAGCTCTAACCAACTGAGCTACAGAGAGACAGTTGTCGAGCTCTAACCAACTGAGCTACAGAGAGACATTTGTCGAGCTCTAACCAACTGAGCTACAGAGAGACAGTTGTCGAGCTCTAACCAACTGAGCTACCGAGAGACAGTTGTCGAGCTCTAACCAACTGAGCTACAGAGAGACAGTTGTCGAGCTCTAACCAACTGAGCTACAGAGAGACAGTTGTCGAGCTCTAACCAACTGAGCTACAGAGAGACAGTTGTCGAGCTCTAACCAACTGAGCTACAGAGAGACAGTTGTCGAGCTCTAACCAACTGAGCTACAGAGAGACAGTTGTCGAGCTCTAACCAACTGAGCTACAGAGAGACAGTTGTCGAGCTCTAACCAACTGAGCTACAGAGAGACAGTTGTCAAGTTCTAACCAACTGAGCTACAGAGAGACAGTTGTCGAGCTCTAACCAACTGAGCTACAGAGAGACAGTTGTCGAGCTCTAACCAACTGAGCTACAGAGAGACAGTTGTCGAGCTCTAACCAACTGAGCTACAGAGAGACAGTTGTCAAGCTCTAACCAACTGAGCTACAGAGAGACAGCTGTCGTGCTCTAACCAACTGAGCTGCAGAGAGACAGTTGTCGAGCTCTAACCAACTGAGCTACAGAGAGACAGTTGTCAAGCTCTAACCAACTGAGCTACGGAGAGACAGCTGTCGAGCTCTGACCAACTGAGCTACAGAGAGACAGTTGTCGATCTCTAACCAACTGAGCTTCAGAGAGACAGTTGTCGAGCTCTAACCAACTGAGCTACAGAGAGACAGTTGTCGAGCTCTAACCAACTGAGCTGCAGAGAGAGAGTTGTCGAGCTCTACTGTAAGTTCATGTATAAATACTAAGGTAATGGTAAAGTAAGGTACATCAGCAGGGATATTTTCAAGCACTTTTCTACTACCTGTATACGGTAGTAAATACTCAATCTTCAATTGAGTTTTGAAACTCAATCTTCTCACCAAAGTTTCAGTGCAGTAGAAATGAAGTTGTTTGAGTTAAATTCGTGACGAATTCAATCTTCTCTGCCAAAACGGACCCAAGAGAAAATCCTGAAAAAAACCCTGCCCTGATGAGTTAATATTTCACTTGAATTTTCCATCAATCCCCTCATGAGTGTGTTCATTTCACCACAAAGTATTTATTATTTGGATCGTCCTTCTTTCCTTTAGAGAGTTGACCGTATTTTGTTGGACTCATCGAAAACAAAGGTTAGTAGTGGCTTGGTGCTTGTCTATACATTGATATAAATACTCGTACAAACCTTCCTTTCTTTATTTATTCCAGTGAGTGGATGGCAGAAATAGTGCGTACTATGGCCGACACTGGTTCGGATTGGACCAAGGAACATGCTTACGATTCCTATGCTCCACAAAGGCAGAGTGTTCCAGCTCAATGGTATGTACTTCAGAGGCTGATTGTATAAAACTCTTAATCACTTTTTTAATCACTATTTTGTATTTAAATAGTGATTAACTCTCAAATACGCGCTTCTTATTGCGTGACATTTCGACTTAACTATGATTAACTTTAATCACTTTTTTATACAACCGCCCCCAGCAATTTACCCGTGAAACGTTCGGTCGAATCTGCTGTGTGGGTGCAAGGGGTGGGCACCCACGCCTCGTGGTGTCTATCACCCCCTAGAGAAGTCCAGCACCACCCTAAAATAATCTGCTTGACCATATGGATTTTCTGCTTTTTGAATAGCGATTTGCGGAATTTTTACTGTTAGCGTGTGTCGATTTCTTCAAACGATTTAATTTGTGAGCTCACGAGAAAGTAGTCAGAGTGCTTTAGTTAAATATTATATTTTCAAATATTCTGTACTTTTAGAAGCAAATGTACTGTACTGTGTTGTGCTACAGAAACTGTCCATCCATGCACGTTGAATGGTGCTGCTGATAATATATTTAAAGGCATATAACCATCCAAGTTGAATGGTTATGTTGATAATGTTCAAACGCATCACCATACAACTTCAATTGTTATACGGAAAATGTTCAAAGGCATAACCATTCGAAATTGAATGGTTATATTGATAGCATTAGTCAAAATATACACGGGCAACGTTTCAAGAAATACAAAAAGAATTTTGGATCTTTCTGAAATTCAGTGTTGCCGTTTGCAGTGTCTGTATAATATGAATTGACTGAAAAAGCGTGAGAAAAGTTTCAATATTTTATACCGCGTGTCTGTAAATATGCGTATTGCCTTAATCCGAAATGCTAACCCTGACCGCTATGTCTTCATCTAGGTTTGTGGATGGGGAAGACTACTTTTACGCTGTTTCGAAAGCTCTCGATGAAGCCAAAGAGGAAATATACATCACAGATTGGTGGTAAGTTTTATAATAGCGTGGTTATACTTGTAAACATTTTAGCCCGGCTAGTTCGACGTCTTTATCCGATTGCTCATCTAGACCACTGTTGTGAAGGCTTTCTTTCATCTTTTCACAAGCTATATTACATTCAACTTAGATGTTTACATTCAACTTATATATGTTCCCCATAAACATTCAACTTAGATGCCTACATTCAACTTATATGTTCGCCATAAACATTCAACTTAGATGTTTATGCTGTTGAATATGTTTGAATGGTTATGCCGAAGACGGTCAACGGCATAACCATTCAACTTGGATGGTAATGCCGTTGACAGTCTTCGGCATAACCATTCAACGTATGTTCAGCATAAACATTCAACTTACATGTTTATGACGTTGAATATGTTTGGCATAAACATTCAATTTAGATGTTTATGACGTTGAATATGTTCGGCATAAACATTCAACTTAGATGTTTATCACGTTGAATATGTTCGGCATAAACATTCAACTTAGATGTTTATGCCGTTGCAAATGTTCGGCATAAACATTCAACTTAGATGTTTATGCCGTTGAATATGTTCGGCATAAACATTCAACGTATGTTCGGCATAAACATTCAACTTAGATGCATGTTTATGACGTTGTATATGTTCATCATAAACAGCCAATTTAGATGTTTATGACGTTGAATATGTTCGGCATCAACATTCAACTTAGATGTTTATGCCGTTGTATATGTTCGGCATAAACATTCAACTTAGATGTTTGTGCCGTTGTAGCTATATGTTTGGCTAAAGTAGGTAGGAATATACCGTTTGCTTTCAACCTGAGGAAATATTTCTGGAGAAAAAAAAAGAATTAGTAATTTCCGAATACTTCTTGGCGCGAAAATATAAAAAATTGTTCGGCGAGAATCGATCCATTACGCATTAGACGTCTGTGGTTTCTACCACTGTACCACGTGTTCACGAACATACCGCATTGATCTGAACTAGTGATCTCAATCAATAAATATTCAACTTGGATGTTTATGCCGTTGTATATGTTCGGCATAAACATTCAATTTAGATGTTTATGCCGTTGTATACGTTCGGCATAAACATTCAATTTTGATGTTTATGCCGTTGTATAAGTTCGGCATAAACATTCAATTTAGACGTTTATGCCGTTATATATGTATATTGGAGAAAAAAAAGAATTAGTAATTTCCGAATGTTTCTTGGTGCGAAAATATAAAAAATTGTTCGGCGAGAATCGATCCATTACGCATTTGACGTCTGTGGTTTCTACCACTGTACCACGTGTTCACGAACATACCGCATTGATCTGAACTAGTGATCTCAATCAATAAATATTCAACTTGGATGTTTATGCCGTTGTATATGTTCGGCATAAACATTCAACTTAGATGTTTATGCCGTTGTATATGTTCAGCATAAACATTCAATTTTGATGTTTATGCCGTTGTATATGTTCGGCATAAACATTCAATTTAGATGTTTATGCCGTTGTATACGTTCGGCATAAACATTCAACTTAGATGTTTATGACGTTGCATATGTTCGGCATAAACATTCAATTTTGATGTTTATGCCGTTGTATATGTTGTTTATAAATGCGCATTAAAATTCCCCTGTGCCAAAACTTTCTGCATCAATATCAGTTTTGAACCTTTCTCTGTCGGTCTATAACAATTTTTTTTTTCATTTTGCCCGAAATGAGATTCACTTCATGAGATGAGCAGGTCACAACAATGTACTTGTGTTTGTAATTTTACCAAAATTTCAAATTGTTCACTGATGGGTTAGTGGTATGTCGTTTAGCCTGTCTCGATAAGCATTTGAGTTCAAATCCAGTTGAACTCATGTTTGGTAGCAGACTCACAATATTTTTTCTCTTTATTTATTCTGACTAATTTCTATTCTTTTTATACCTCTATGTGCAGAATCCGTTTACAAGTATAAGAAAATATTGTCATGTTGAAACAGGCTCGAAAAGATTAAGTTAATCATTCCATATTCTCTAATTTCGCAAGGATTTAACGCGGCACTTGCCGTGGGATAGTAACTTCTAGTTTTAGTTGACTCTATCACGAAGCCGGCGAACGGCTAAGCGTAGTAGAAAGTATATTAAAACACGGCTAAGCACGGCTAAGGAATTTTTATATCAAAATGCGCATTAAAATTCCCCTGTACCAAAACGTTTTGCATCAATATACGTTTTGAAGATTTCTAAGTCGATCTAAACCGAAAAATGGCCCGAAATTTTCTAAGTTTGACTTTGGTTTAAAACCGCAGCACTTGCCTTGCGATAGTAACTTCTAGTTTATAGTTGAGTCGATGCACGAAGCCGGCGAACGGCTAAGCTAGTAGAAAGTATATTAAAACACGGCTAAGGACGGCTAAGCATCTTTTATATCAAAATACGCATTAAAATTGCACTGTACCAAAACTTTTTGCATCAATAAGTCTTTTGAACATTTCTAAGTCTATCTAAACCGAAAAATGGCCCGAAATTTTCTAAATTTGACTTTGGTTTAAAAGGCAGCACTTGCCTTGCGATGGTAACTTCTAGTTTTATTTGACACGATCCACGTCGATCCACGAAGCCGGCGAACGGCTAAGCGTAGTAGAAAGTATATTAAAACACGGCTAAGCATTATTTATTTATAAATGCGCATTAAAATTCCCCTTCGCCAAAACTTTTTGCATCAATATCCGTTTTGAACCTTTCTCTGTCGGTCTATAACAATTTTTTTTTCATTTTGCCCGAAATGAGATTCACCTCATGAGATGAGCAGGTCACAAAAGTACTTGTGTTTTTAATTTTACCAGAATTACAAATTGTCCACTGATGGCTTAGTGGTACGTCGTTTAGCCTGTCTCGATAAGCATTTGAGTTCAAATCCAGTTGAACTCATGTTTTGTAGCTGACTCACAATATTTTTTCCCTTCATTTATTCTGACTATTTTCTATTCTTTTTATACCTCTATGTGCAAAATCCGTTTACAAGTATAAGAAAATAATGCCATGGTGAATCTGGCTCGAAAAGATTAGGCTAATCATTCTATATTGTCTAATTTCACAAGAATTTAACGCAGCACTTGCCTGGCGATAGTAACTTCTAGTTTTAGTTAGGTCGATCACGAAGCCGGCGAACGGCTAAGCGTGGTAGAAAGTATATTAAAACACGGCTAAGCATTTCTCATGTCAAAATGCGCTTTAAAAGTCCCCTGTGCCAAAGCTTTCTGCATATAATGCGTTTTGAACCTTTCTAAGTCGATGTATATCGAAAAATAGGATTTATATCGAAGAATTCCGAATATAGATGATTCAAGAATCCGGCGAACGGCTAAGCATATAATGAAACACGGCTAAGACTGGTAAAGGCTACAGTTTGTGTATTGTACGATAGTCGTTCAAGTCCCACAGAAGTCATTTTATGATTTGAAATGCATTTTAATTATACAATCTATAGAGGAAAAAGTTAATTAAAGTGAATAAGTTGCAATTGGCTTTCATCAACGAGCAAGTGGTCTAGTGGTAAAGGCTACAGTTTGTGTATTGTATCATAGTCGTTCAAGTCCCACCGAAGTCATTTATGATTTGAAATGAATTTTAATTATACAATCTATAGAGGAAAACGTTAAAGTGAATAAGTTGCGATTAGCTTCCAACAACGAGCAAGTGCTCTAGTTGTAAAGATTACAGGTTGTGTATTGTACCATAGTGGTTCAAATCCCACCGAAGTCATTTTATCATTTGAAATGAATTTTAATTATACAATCTATAGAGGAAAACGTTAAAGTTAATAAGTTGCGATTAGCTTTTCAACAACGAGCAAGTGGTCTAGTGGTAAAGATTACAGGTTGTGCATTGTACCATAGTGGTTCGAGTCCTACCGAAGTCATTTTGTGATTGGAAAATGCTTGAATTTTAATTATACAATCTATAGAGGAAAACGTTAAAGTGAATAAGTTACAATTAGCTTTCAACAACGAGCAAGTGGTCTAGTGGTAAAGACTACAGGTTGTGTAATATACCATGGTTGTTCAAGTCCTACAGAAGTCATTTTGTGAATTGAAAATGCTTGAATCTATAGAGGAATATAGAGGAAAACGTTAAAGTTAATAAGTTGCGATTAGCTTTCAACAACGAGCAAGTGGTCTAGAGGAAAAGACTACAGGTTGTGTGTTGTACCATTACGGTTGAAGTCCTACAGAAGTCATTTTGTGATTGGAAAATGCTTGAATCTGTAGAGGAATATAGAGGAAAACGTTTAAAGTGAATAAGTTGCGATTAGCTTTCAACAACGAGCACGTGGTCTAGTGGTAAAGACTACAGGTTGTGTAATATACCATGGTTGTTCAAGTCCTACAGAAGTCATTTTGTGAATTGAAAATGCTTGAATCTATAGAGGAATATAGAGGAAAACGTTAAAGTTAATAAGTTGCGATTAGCTTTCAACAACGAGCAAGTGGTCTAGAGGAAAAGACTACAGGTTGTGTATTGTACCATTACGGTTGAAGTCCTACAGAAGTCATTTTGTGATTGGAAAATGCTTGAATCTGTAGAGGAATATAGAGGAAAACGTTAAAGTGAATAAGTAGCGATTAGCTTTCAACAACGAACAAGTGGTCTAGAGGAAAAGACTACAGGTTGGGTATTGTACCATTGTGGTTCAAGTCCAACAGAAGTCATTTTATGATTCGAAAATGGTTGAATTTTAATTATATAATCTTTAGAGGAAAACGTTAAAGTGAATAAGTGGCGATTAGCTTTCAACAACGAGCAAGTGGTCTAGTGGTCAAGACTACAGGTTGTACCATTACGGTTCAAGTCCTACAGGAGTCATTTTGTGAATTGAAAATGGTTGAATCTATAGAGGAATATAGAGGAAAACGTTAAAGTGAATAAGTTGCGATTAGCTTTCAACAACGAGCAAGTGGTCTAGTGGTAAAGACTACAGGTTGTGTATTGTACTATTACGGTTCAAGTCCTACAGGAGTCATTTTG